TATATTTGACATACAATTTGAATTATAGTTAATATGGCGTTGGATCTGCAAATAAACCGAACGTAATCCAGCAGATAACAGAATTCCGAGGGAGGTGCATAGTTAACCTGCTTGCCGCCATTTTTTCAACAGACAAGCAAAAAATGGAGATGAACCAAATCATCTTATATGTATACTCGTATATGGAAATGTTGCGGCATACAGTCATGATCAAAAAGATACAGATTTCAAGGTAAAAAAGTTTATCAATCAAAATTTCTTACCCGGAAAGCTTGGAAGTTTGACTCACTTTTAATTTCCCCCTAATCCTCAACCAAAAAGCAGGTAACGTGTTTCCCTAAACTCGTTAAACATAGGCCTTTTGATACCAAAATAACAAGTTTGATCCTTACGAAAAAGTTGAATGATGTAAATTGTAAATGCATTTGTTAATAGCCCAGTAAATAATAGAGTCAATCATGCAAGAATTCAATATTTTGCTCTATGACGGTATTTACTGTAGTCCGTACCATCAGTATTCTTGGTGATTCTGTCAGTATCATTGGATGTTTACGTATCCTTATACATCAATAAATACCGAAGGTCAATAAATATCACATTACATTACAATTATGCACATATCGCAGTAAATACTGAAATACTCATGTGACATTCGCCCATAGTGTACAGAATACTTAATGATTATTTATTCTTGAAGACTATTTTGTATTTTACCAATTTTAAAGAAAATACTGGATGGACAAAATACCCATAATATATTTAACTTCCTATGTCATTTGTCGAGGACGTATTGGATTAAAAAAAAAATCAGAAAATGAAGTACTCGTATACTGCTTTTTTGATGTTAGATGACACGTACATATGAAAAACTATGCCACTCCGTCGTTATGTCTGTCTGACGATTTGCCTGCTGATCCTTGTCTAACTCGTAAATGACGATATTAGACGAAAATATCCCTGGTTTGCGAAATAATTGTAAAGTTTGGTTTTATTGCTGCAAGTTGTTCAAGGGGGTATTCAAAACATGGACGCATAAAATGGGTACACCAATTTTTATGGGAAAACTGTTACTCGACAACAAAGAAAGAGAAAACGTATCTTTGGGACTCAATCGAAAGTGTTGGCAGGAACGAAAAAACTCTTCATATAAGATTTTTAGGTACTTATGAGACCTTCAAAATAAACTACACGTAGAAAGATCTGATTAATAGCAAAACAGTTATGGCCGAAAACCGAGGAAATCTGCAGGTTTTGGTACTTGTTGGTAATGCGACGATGGTTTCTCGCAGATATTTGAAATTATTCAAATTCGTAGGATTCGTACTTCTATATTGCAAGTAGTTTTTGAGAATTTCTAATTGTTCTTTCCAAAATACCTGTTTTCCGGCCATCACTACTAGCTTATTGAGCAAAAAGGATGGGTTACGTTTTTTATTCTAAACAAATGTCGTATTTGTGAGTAATTCGCAACAAAAGATGCTACACACATCCGCTTTATTTTAAACTGTGTATAGTATGGTATGGTCTGGTCTTCGGGTATCGTAGCGCATTTGTTCAATTACTCACAAATACGAAATGTTTGAATTTGTTTAGAAAAAAAAACGTAACCTTTGTTCTTCGCATAAAAATAAGATTTATCTTCCGGAATGGTTTATGTTTCATATCGGCAAGGTAAACACGTGTATTTTGCTATTAAATGCTCTTTGAACGAACCCTGTATATTGCTCAATAAACTAGTAGTGATGGCCGGAAAACAGGTGTTTTGGAATAAACAATTAGAAAGTCTCAAGAAACTACTTGACCAATAATATAATTTAATTTTGTTGTTGTTATTAAGAAGTATGAATCCCACGGATTTGAAGAATTTCAAGTAGTTGCGTGAAATTATCGTCGCATTACCAACAAGTGCCAAAACCTGCATTTTGCCTCGTTTTTCGGCCATAACATTTTTGCTATTAGTCGGATATTTTCACGGGTGGCTTCATTTTCTAGGTCTCTCAAATACCTAAGAATCTTATATGAAAAGTTTTTTCGTTTCTGTCAACACTTTCGATTGAACACCCAAAAACTGCTTGTACCAATAAATCGAGACTTTATAATTATTTTGGGGAAATTTCCTAATATAATAATTAGACTATTTTGATGAAATTTTGCCACAAAGTTACTGCTATGTCGGACACGAAATACCTGTGTTGCTTTTTAAAATCGATTAAGCGACGGCGAAGCTGCAGGCAATAAGCAAAAAAAATCACTCATATTTAGTTCTAAACGTTTCATAGGCTCGTATCATTTTCAGAAAAAATGGATTGACAGTTGAGGGTTGGGGATTTGCAGGGAGTAGAGGGTTGTAAGTGTTGCATCTTTCAAACAAGGTGGAGATAATTTTTGTTTTTTTACGTTTATATGCTTCTAACCCTGGTAATAGAACGCACGTGTTAGATACATTTCACACATCGATTTGGAATGATAGAAATACACCTATTTTCAATATCCTCGTTGAGCGCAGTGAAAATAAAAGAGAAATTTCTTGCGAGCTCGGTAGGGCAGAGGAGAAATTTCTAGAACGCTACGTTGTCAAAGAAGAGGGGACTGAGAACTGATTGTATAGATCTATCTGCCTAGGTTGACTTATTCAATTCCTTTGTCGTAAATGTTCATAGTTAGGTTTTTTCTAAGTAGTGTGGAACATAATCTCTTATGAAATGATTACAGTGTTGTGTGGCAAAGGCGGAATCAGTCAATTTGTCGCCATTTTCTACCAGTCTCTAGCACAACAGCTGTGCTATTTGGCAACATCGTTTCGCGGTGGAATCAAATTTTGTTGTTTTCACCCAGCAAATTGGCCTTGCATATTGCAGTGTACCAATATGTTCAACCGCGTATGATCATCATGTTTGCCGAGTTAGGTAAACCGTTTCATCAATATCATAACAATAAATCGTCTAGCCTGTGTATTCGTAAATACGAAAAATATGGAGATTCAACTTCCATATACTATCCAAGCGCTCTAACAACGCCACATTCATTTGATAATGTGCCATACAAATGTAAATTTGTCCCACATGGGAACATAACAATCCAGCAGTTGATTGGAGATGGCCAACGTAACATGGTGAGACGAGTATACAGAATGATTCAATTTAACTGAAGTATACCGGGTGTAAACGTTATGGCAGTGATTATTGAAATGGGTAATAGTGGGGTCAAAACAAGTAAAAAACTCACATGACCGGTGGTCCAAAAGTCAATAGATTTTTGTCTAAATGGCTTTATAGTTTACAACTTTAAGTGCTTTATATCGACCACAATCTTACTATTTTTTATAATCTAATCTAAAACGTTTTTAAACTGGGTAATTAACAAATAAACGGCATTACGTTTTTCTAAGTTAAGCCAAAATTTGTAGTCAGTAAGTAAGTTCCATTAAATTGAGTACTTAAAACACACATGACAACTGCGCGTCGGTCATCACCACCCTTATCGTGGAAATCAATGCAGATATCAGCACTCGGGAATTAGGCCGCCGCGTAGGACTATCGCATACCATAATCCATAGAATCCTACGGAAAAATTTGCTTTATCCCTACCATGTACAACGAGTTATCAGAAGACTAGCCTCGCAGACTAACATTCTGTCAGTGGCTTTTGCAGAAAAACATCCGGATTTTTTTAAAAACATTCTAGCGACGGACGAATGTACTTTTACACCAGACGGGATATTAAATTTCCATAATACTCACACGTGGGCCCAAGTAAATCCTCATACCATTCGTGGAGGTCGTAATGAAACTTGCGTGGAAAGTGGAGGACGACAGTTTGAACACCTTCTTTAAATACAATAAGTGCAGTGTGGATTATAGAAAGAAAAACAATGTATCTATCAAAATCGTGTTCCCTAGTTATAAGTGGATTTTTTTAATACGTTCAATAAACTTTCACACACCAGGTGAAGCGCTGAGACAATTAGTGGTGAGTCCGATTTTTTAATTGTTTGCATTTTACGAGTAGATTATGAAATAATGAAATAATACCTAGGAGCCAAAAATAACAAACTCTTTATTTGCACTACGTTCCGTTGTAATTTTCTTCTAGCATTGCAGCGTTGTCAGATTTTATTTTACTTTAAAGTCGCTTTTCTCTAAAAAAATGCCGTTTTGACCCCGATGTTAAATGAAACTTTTTGCTTCTGCTAACACCCTCTATCACCCATTTAAATAATGACTATCATAACGTTTACACCCTGTATATGCAGAACTATCACTGTCGACTCGATCAGGAATTAGGTTTGACTGAGAAAAGGGGTCAACATTTCTGCTCAGTCGTACAACTGTCAAGTAATTCATTCATGCCAAAATTCCTAAAAAAATCGCCTTGTATAGGGCACTGATAGCAGCTGTCCCGTTATTTCGATCCGGAAAATTTTTTAGACGAAAAGCGAGATAACCGAGGTATTTATTATGGAAACTGACCCAGGGGGGTCAGGAAATGGCGCTTCCACCATGGCAATGGAGATGGAGTCGAAGGAGCAGACCATAGAGGAGCTGAGAGCCGAATTGGAGATGGTTTGACAGGAGCTGTCAAAAAAGGACGATGATAAGAAGACCAATGAAAGATTGATGATGATCATCGAAGCCCAGCAGCGGACAATTACCGACCTAACAGTTAAATTAGACCTCCTACTGAAAATCCAGGTACCTTCCCATCTAAATATTACAAATTCTTCCCAAACACTTCCCAAAAATCCCAGTAAAGACAAAGCTGTCAATCTTAAGAGACCGTTAAATAATTCAAGCGATCTTTCCACAGACGACGATACACTCCCTGACGGTTTTACCAAGGTTAAGCCCCGTAAAACGCGACGAAACAAGACCGACACGACAGGCTTTCCTCCTCTCCCTCCACCAAAATCGCAGTCTGAAACGTCTCATTCAACTTCAAGCGACTCGAATAAACAGCCTGTGCCTAATCCATCGGTTACTTCCACGCCTTCGACATCTCAGGTACCAGAAGACACGTCTGCACAGCCCCCACGCAAGGTACGTGTTACCCCCATCGTTCTTCGCGATGCTTCGAGATGGCGAGGCGTAAATCACAAGTTTATTTCTTTGGGCATCAAATTCGAACGTGCGGTTGCCGTCGATGCAGGAATCAGGATAATTCCCAAGTCCGAGGATGATTACCGCAGGATTATTCGTCTCTTCAGGGAGGAAGAGGTGCCCCATCACACTTTCCCTCTACCCTCCGAGAGGAACATTCATGCTGTAATCAGAGGAGTACATGCGACACTTTCGGAAATTGAGATCAAGGAAGAGTTGCAACAGAGGGGATATTCCCCCCTGCACATAATTCGCCTGAAACGCGGTGGCGGCGTGCCCATGCCTTTGGTGGTAGTCATACTGCCCAAGATAGAAAAATCTCAGCAGCTGTTCAACGAACACGAGCTGCTAGGTTTGGCTATCCGAGTCGAAGTTCAAAAGAATTCAAGACTCATCGGGCAGTGTCATCGCTGCCAAAAATATGGGCATGCGCAATCTTACTGCACTGCACCACCTAAATGTCCAAAATGTGCTTCTGACCACATGACCCACTTATGCCCTCAAACAGAACAAGAGGAACGAAAGTGCGCGAACTGTGGAGGGGGGCATCCAGCGAATAGCCGAACTTGCAGATTTGCCCCTAAGAAAAATCTGCAAGTGATAGCGCAAAGGCGCAATGTAAGTTACGCGGATGCAGCTAGGGATGCAACCCGGGCTGCCCCCTCTGTGGGATCTTCTGCGAACACGCAAAATGTGGACCTGGCAACCGCGCTAAGGTCCTTACAACAGATCATAGGTCCTCTGATTAGCGCAACACAGGCTTTGCAGGCGATCTTTCCTGCAAATGGCTAGGTACAATCGACGACAGCCTGCATTTATCAAAATTCTTTTTTGGAATTGTTTGGGTCTAAGGGACATTCCCAAAAGACGGGAATTTCATCAAGCTCTTGTGGACGAAAGTATAGATGTGGCCTTGCTGCAGGAAACATTACTTAATCCGGGAGATCGTCTAGCTTTCCCGAATTACGATGTTATCCGGGCTGATAGATTGACTGGATGGGGTGGCGGCTTGGCAGTGCTAGTGAAACGCGGTATTGACTACCACAGAAGCACAAACGCTGACATGCAGAGCATCGAAGCGGCTTCCGTGGTGGTCAATATGACGGGAGGTGTGCCGTTAAAAATCACATCGGTGTATGTCAGGTGTGGTAACAGGCTGCAAGAGGCGGATCTGGAAGTCCTTTTAGACTACTCGGGTCCACTTATTGTGGCAGGGGACTTCAACTGCAAACATCGAGCATGGCATTCCAGGTTGAATTCCACCAGTGGGATCCGACTGTACAACCATGTGATACGAAATGGCTACCTCATACATAGTACTGAGGAGCCGACGCACCACCCATTTAATCACCTTCAGGCACCTGATGTTCTTGATTTGGCATTATCCAAAAACTGTAGCTACAGTATCACTTCTCGAATCATGTATGACATCTCAAGCGATCATCTTCCCGTCGTTTTGGAAGTGGCTAATGAGCAGATCTTGGGGGATGAAATCCCTCCAAGGAAACGCATTGATTGGGAGCTATACAAGTCGCTCCTCAAAGAGTTCCCCAATATACCGATCATAGATGATGAGAACGGTATAGATGCGGCTCAAGCAGAGTGGACAAGTTCTGTTCAGCAAACTCTGCAGGGTGCAGCTTTACTTCCCGTGCAGCGACACGGCAGACCTTTTCTGCCAGCAGACATTCGTCAGAAAATTTCTGATAAAAGAGCTGCAATTAAGCAAGCGAAAAGGTCTTGTCATCCTGATGACATTCGCAGAGCGACGAATGTTGTTCATGAAGTAAGAAATGCTCTTCATGAATTCCGCAATGAGCAATGGAACGACTTTCTGGCGGGGATGCTTGACTCAAGCATTCCTCTCTGGAAGGTGGCGAAGTCGCTCAAAAACGGAAAGCGTGAACAAATCCCACACATTCACGGTCCTGGAGGCATTGTCTTCAGGACAGAGGAGAAGGTTGAGGTTTTCGCCGATGCCATGGAAAGACAGTTCTCTCCCAACTATGATCTTGATAATGACCTCGACGAGGAGCAACACATCGTAAGATCTGTCAGGAGATATTTTAGGGCCAACGGCGTCAGTGACAGTCGCGCATTCGTTGGTGATATTTCTTCATCAGAAGATTCTTCTTCGCTCAACCGAAGATTTGCTTAGCACATCAGCGGTATCTCCTGAGATCCCGCATTGCACACCAGCAGAGATTCAAGGTCATATTAAAGACCTTAAAGTGCGTACAGCACCTGGGGAGGATCAAATCACTAATAAGGCGCTGAAGCTGCTTTCGCGGAAGTCCTTAACTTATCTCGTGGCAATAGTCAATGCCATGCTAAGGATCCAGTACTTCCCATCCGCGTGGAAGACCGCTGAAGTTATAATGATTCCAAAGAAGGTGGGTTCGATATTTCCCCAGGATTATCGTCCCATTAGCCTGCTGTCAGCTGCGTCTAAGCTCGCTGAAAAGGTGATTCTACGTCACCTTGAGAATTTCTCGTCAGATCACCATGTGATTTCTGACGTGCAATTCGGTTTTCGGTCTGAACATAGTACGGAGCTACAGGCGGTTAGGCTGGTGGAACGTGTAACCAGAGGATTCACCCTTAACGAAAGTACTGGCATCTTGCTTTTGGATGTCTCAAAAGCATTTGACAAGGTGTGGCACGCGGGCCTCTTGTATAAACTAATCCAAAAGGGCTTCCCTTTTTGGCTTCTAAAACTACTGAAATCCTTCCTTGAAGGTAGGAAATTTAGGATCAAAATTGACAATGTGCTGTCGACAACACGGCTGATTACAGCCGGCGTCCCTCAGGGTTCGGTCCTTGGACCTATCCTTTACTCACTGTACATCCATGACGTCCCTAGTCCCAGCAACTGTGAAGTCTATCTCTATGCTGACGATACTGCATTGGTGGTTCAGTCGTGGTCTGGTGACCTAGTCCATGACAGGCTGCAAAGTGCGGTGGAAGAAGTATTAGATTGGGCAGATCGGTGGCTAATTAAAATAAACCATTCGAAAACGCAGGCAATCTACTGTACAAAAAGACGTCGCGGCGTTCCGTCTGAAGTTTCAATGAAAGGACTTCGTATACCATGGGAATCCTCCGCTAAGTATCTCGGTGTCATTCTGGACAAAGGGATGACTTGGCGGAACCATATGGAAGCGCTAAAAACTAAATTCCAAATTACGTTTCGGCAGCTTTACCCATTATTATGTAAACGGTCAAAATTAAGTTTGATTAACAAGATTCGACTCTATAAGGTGGTCATAAGACCAGCAATGACTTACGCATGTGCGGCTTGGTGTTTTATTGCTAAAACACACATGCGAAGTCTGCAGGTTCTGCAAAGCAGGACGTTGCGCACTATTGCTGATGCCCCATGGTATGTCTCTAACGAAACTCTACATAGAGACCTCGATGTCCCTTACCTAAAGGACTACATTAAGCAACAGGCGCAGCGGCGCTATAGCCTAGCGGAATCGCACAGCAACCCTCTGTTGCGTGAATCAGTGGACTACACAGTCGAGCAAGTTCGCAAGCACAAAAGGCCGCGGCTCGCACTGTAATCAAAATTAACTCGTGAACTTAGAACAACCAAAATTGGAGCATTTTTACACAATCTTTAGAAAAAATCAAATATTTTTAGACCATATCAAAATCTGTGAAGCGATTTTAACAATGCCTAAACGCTGCCTATCCTAAAAGATTCTCTTCTTCCCCCTTGCTCTTGTTCTTCCTTCTCTCCTTTCCTTCCCCTTTTTTCCTTAAAATTGTCTGGTTCCTGGGTTACCAGACCTGACAGACTTACAAACTGACACTGTGACTCAAGAGCTAAGGTCCCACGGACCGCTCTGACAACCAACGATGACTTGAAGCCAAAATTCCTGAAAGGGAGGTTGTTAATTTTATGGGATTTCCTTGCCAACAAAGGAACTTTCAACGTATCATCTTTAAGTGTATAATACAAATCCTTCTGAGCCCTACCAGTGCAGAATTTGAATTTTGATAACGGAGGAAGTTATATGCACGGATACAGATTCATTGATGTCGTATTATTATTTTTTATACCGAAGCAGCCACCTAGGCAGACGCCTAAATGTCAAGGCACCGCGGCTGTTATGAGAAACTTAAAGAAACCTTGTTAATGCGATTTTTAAACTGCCTGAAAAGAGCTGGGAACAGTCTCCTCAGGTAGATAGTTGCAAAATCTTTATGCCCTAAGGACAAAGGACCGGTCGTGACGGCAAGTTCTGGACGTACGAGGTTGGACGTGGTGGGATGGTAGGCCGAAATCAAGCGGGTCTGTCTGGCAGACACATATCGTGGCGGCGTCAAGGAAGAGGTCTCTGGGGTTCCGAGACTGTCCGTTATAGTAGAGTTACCAATCAGACAGACAACCCTCCTCTAAACTGCATCGAGTATGGATAATGGAGTCATGGAGACCGCACCCCAAACATTTGAGCAGTACTCGAGGCTAGGCCTGGCACAAAGTGAATGCGTTACGTGGAGAAAAGTACAAATAGCTAGCCTGGCTTTTCCCAAGCAGCTGCCCCTATTGACGATATGTGTTCGTGCCAGACCAAGTCACTGAGGACTGAAATGAATGGCTCTTTGGTATATCTTGGATATCCATCGAAACCGGATGAGCGTTAGTGCGCTTTTTGTTAGTCAAGGTACAGTACTGTGTCTTGGAAGCATCAAACTGTTCGAGATTGTTGTGTCCCCAAACACTGATAGCCTCCAGGTCTCTCGTTAGAGAGAAAGTTTCTGCTACTCTTCTTTTCTCCAGCTCACTGGCAGAGATCGGCTTGTCACTCTGAATTCTTGCATGTACAGTGTTGTGATCAGCAAAGCTGTGGGACGGATTGATCGTACAGGAAGACAGGTCATTGATATGTAAGACGAATAATTTTGGAGCCACGACTGATCCCTGGACGTTAACGTTGTGGGATGAAGTAAAGAATCCATCAATTACGATAGATATCTTGCGGTCAGAGAGGAAATCAGCCACCCGTTTGAAAAACTTTTCTGCCATGGTACAGAAGTTTGCATAAAAGGGCAGCTTGTCACAAATGATCGAATGCTTTCATGATATCAAGAGCTGCACACGAGCCTCACTATGAGATATGGACGAGTGTATTCCACAGCTCTGTGATGTAAGCTAGGAGGTCCCGTGTTAATCGCTGGTACCGGAAACTATGCTGCCTGGCGCTAATCAGCCCGCAACGTTCAAGGTACTCCAGAAGCTTTAGATCTAGTTGTATGTATCTTTCCACCTCCTTACTTGTAACAGAAATCAGAGCTACCAGTCTGCAGTTGTAAGGCGTCAATCTCAGATCCTTTGTTGGGATGATCAGGACATGAGCAAATTTCCAGTTTTATCGAAAGTGTCAAGACGCTGGAGCGAGCTTCGCTGCACACCTTTTCAATATAACGGTATGAATCAAGTCCGGACCAGAAGCTTTATTGATGTTGAGGTAACAATCTAGCAGCTGATAGGAGATGGCCAACGCAGTATTGCAATTTTGTTATTATAAGTAATGGTTCCAGGGCATACTTAAGTAGCCCTTCCCCAAATTTGGCGAGAACTATCACTGTAAGTTCGTTGAGGTGTTAGGTTTGACTGATAAAACGGATCAGTGGTACAACGATAAAACATTGCATCCATGCTTAAGTACCTGAAGTGTTTGAAGGTTCTTAATTCTTGGGGGTTTCGTACCAACGAAAGAGCTAAAAACTCACTTTTTTAAGTGTACTATGCATATCTACATATGCCCCACCAGTTAATAATT